AAATGACTGAACAGTGACAACATGAAGCATCTAGTTCCAGGCTCTTAAGCATTTTTGTGTCATGGACCCCTTAGGATCCTGGTAGGGCTTCTGGACCCCTTTGCAGAATAATGTGTTTAAGTGCGTAAAATAAAACACATAGCATTGCAAGGGAAACCAATCATATTGGAGTTATTTCCAAATATTTTTAAGAACAAGGTCTCGGACTCCAGGTTAAACTGTTGCTTCTCTCAGTATTTTGTTGAGAAGAAGGTACTACCCTCATTTTCTTTGGTGCTATATGGAAAGTCACTTCTTCTAACTGGCTATATGTTGTACTTGCTGATTTTTTATTTCCTTTTGCTTACTCTGATTTTAACAAAGCATTTAATCTTTTGGTAAAGTGTCTCTATGGGAATAATAGACTGAAAGACAGGGTCCTCTTTACTTTATAACCTATTTCTCTTCTGTAAACCTACTCTTTCTCTGGATCTACAGGCAATATCTGTGGGTGATGTCAGGAGAGAGCTCACCTTTTGCAAGAAGACAGGGTTGCGAGTGATTGGAATTGTGGAGAATATGAGTGGTTTCATTTGTCCACATTGTTCGGTGAGCCCTGGGGAAGTTTCCTAAGGTTTTTCCTGTTTTATCACCGTGCAGTTCATTATCCTAGCACACTGAGGTGGTTCAGTGGGACTCAAAAGAAGCTATATCTTGCTCCATCTTTATTTCCTCAGCACCTAGTATAGTGTATTGCATATAATAAATGTTTAGCAGTCCTTCTTGAATGAAAATATCATTCCTTCTGATGTATTCAGCTCGGGGAAGCTTGCTCTGACTCAGGACTAGGCCAGCAATCTGAAAAGAAATAAACCTAGGTACATGAAATGAAACTAACCCTGTTGTCTTCCAGATGACATGAAGTCTGCCCTCGGTGTCTGTCTTCTATTAAGATCTCTTCCTTTTACACTAGATTATGCAATTAACTGTTTTCACCTAAAGCAGTGACTGGCAAACTAGGGTCAGAGGGCCAAATCTAGTCCACTGCTTGTTTTAACAACTCAGGAGCTAAAAATGTTTATTTTTAAAATTTTAATAAATAATTTTAGTTATTTGAATAAATCAAGTGATTTTTAATGATTTGGATAAATTTTTAAAAATTATTTTTAAATGTAAAAATTACTTTGTGGACCATACAAAAACAAGCAACAGACTGGTTTGGGCCTCTGGCCCTAGTTTACCAACCCCTGATCTGTACTCTAAGGGCCCCTTATCCCTGTCTAGTCCGGAGAATGTTATCTGTGGGAAAACTTCTAATTAAGTAGGTCTCTGATCATAGCCAACTTTTTGTTTCTTCTAATTCTAGGAGTGCACTAATCTTTTCTCTAAGGGAGGTGGGGAAGAACTGGCCAGACATGCCAAAGTCCCCTTCTTAGGTGAGTAGTAATTGAAACTTAGGAACATTTATGGGGTCACTTTTTCTGATTTTCTGAGTCCTTTGAAAATATTTTTTCTGTAATCATCCTGATATGATTGTAGAGACAGAACAGAGGAGTAATTCCCTCTCATTATTAGCTTAGATTACGTGAAGGTCCTGTAATTTCATCTGCATGGTATCTCCCTCCACCAACAGAGATTGCAGTCTAAATGAAATTAGTCCTAGGGACTTACTTGAGCTACATAGAGCTTAACTGCCCAGGATCAAGCTACTACTACTTAGAGTCAAAGACAGATTTAAACCCAGTTGACTCCAATTCCATCATTCTGTCCACAATGCCATGCTGCCTCAGTTTAGATTATGGATTGAATATCAGAGACATTCTTTGTACCTGTAGAGTCTGCCTCATTCTGAATAATAAATTGAATATGAAAAGAGTTAAAATTGGGTAAGTTTTCCAGACCTCTGACTCCATAGTCAGTCAGTAAGTATATCTTAAGTTCCTACTGTGTGACGGGCATGTGCTAAGCACTATAAAGAACCAAAGCCTTTCCAGCTGAACCATACTGCTGAACCTTGCTGCCTCCCCTGTTCATGTTAATTTTTTTGTGGAGTCTTGTATAATGGGCCTGTGGTCCCTTGAGCAGTAATCTAAATTCAAAGAGAGGGTTTGAGTTATGATCACAAATTTAGAAGTGTCCAAAAAAAGTGAATGTGGCTTAATCCATGTTTAAACATTGCTGTTCCCCATATGTTTTCCCTTTCCTGTTGTAGGCTTTCCATCAGCATCTAACTAAGCATCCCCTTCTGCCTTCCTCTTTTTCTTCCCATTTAGGCTGTGTACCCCTGGATCCTCAGCTCACAAAGAGCTTGGAGGAAGGCCAAGACTTCATCCAGGAATTCCCTAAAAGCCCTGCTTTCCCTGCATTTATTTCTATCACTCAGCAGATCTTGGATGGGATGTTGGCTCAGACCTCCTAACGAAGGCATCTCAGGCTCTTGCCTACTGTGATTTCTTTTTTGCTGCTTTTGGATACAGCCCTTTGTTTAAAAGACTTGTAACCAGAAGAATGTCACAGAGAAAAGGCCTCTAAAGAAACTTCCTGGATCATTCAGAAGCTCTTAGTGCAAAGGAGCCAGTGTCATTTCTGCAAGTTTCACTACTATTAAAATAGGCTTCCCAAAGACCAGGTAGCTGCTGCCTCTGGGGCATTGGCTTTGTTTGTTTTTCTACCACCCCTAGCAGCATGCCAAGCTCAGGCATGCTTCCACTAAGAGTGGGCTTATGTGGATCCACAGTGGTTAATGGTACCGAGTTTTTAAGCTGCTTCTTACAAGACAGGACCATGGAGGGCATGTTGATTATAGCCAAGTAGCTAACTGTAGAGATCCCAACATAATGACATTGGTATTTCCCTCTCTACCTCTGGTACTAAGACTGTTGAGAACACTGTGGACATCTTTCCTTGGCTCTGGATACAGGGTTCTTACTACTAAGTGCTGTAGTTGGAACATTTCCCTTTTCAGATGTGTAAGTACCATCTGGCCATTAAGCCCATATGATAACTTGGAAATATATGTAGTCTGAAGGAATATATCTCTCGCCCTACCATAGCATAACCTTAATGTCACCTGATGAAGATTTCCTTATTAAACATGCCTCAGGAATGCTTTGTAACTTTAAAGGAGCGCATAATTAAAGAAATTCCCCCTGGCTTTGCATCTTTGTGACTATTCATAGATGATTTCCTTTGGTCTCTTGTTTAAAAAATATGTTTTTATGAGTTCTCCTTCCTCCTTGCCTCTTATTCTTTCTAATCTGTTGTGCTGATCTTAGTTCAATTCAGCAAACATTTACCTAGCACTTACCATTAAGTGCAAGGTACCATGGTAGTTTCCTTTGTTTAACCTCTGGTAATAGGTGGGATCTGGGTCTGGACAGACGGATCCATTTCACATAGGTTAAAAAGTCACACAGTGAAAATGAATTTGGATCTAGGTTAGCCTGGGTATTGGAGGAAAAGTTATGTGATAACTAGCAGAACATGAATGTGACTGCTTAAGAGTAACTGCTTAACACTGTAAATAATAAGGCATCTGTGACTGGTAAACCAAGGCATCTTCCTGGCACAGAAGAAGGCATATGTGTGGCCTGAATGAGAGGGATTTGTTCAGAATCTGATAGAGTGTCTTTAAAGTGACATCAGTCTTCGTAATTTTTTGTTCAAGCTGAGAGAACCAATATGGATTTATTCCTCTTTCCTATGGGGTCCTACTTTTTCCTTTGCAGGACTTTACTACCAGTTTGCTGCAGAGGAATGACGTTAGGAAACAATGGAAGATTTAGGTGGCAGAAACAACACTGAAGGTTGGAATATCCATCTTAGCAGTATTCTTCTCCTCTATCAGTGTGTATGTGTGGATGGGAGGGGAGGACATGGGATGTGCTCCTGGTTCCTGTCATCCCTCTAGGACTGGAACAGGAAGTATTACTGAAGGATGGAGCGAAGAGTGGGCGTCAGGGAAGCATGTGAAATGGGACACAAAAAGAAAAACAGTCTGGCATAATCTATTATATGTTCACTTGATCATACAACACAGTATCCTTAGTTTTGTGCCATAACCAGCTTGCCTCTTATGCTGCTGGGGAGAAGGTTTGAGATTCCAGTAGCCCCTAATTATTGATTTTCAGAAGAAAATTCTGCTAGGACTTCTGTGCCTAAGATCAGAGCTTTAAGTGTATTAATATACTGATTGGAGAAGCACACAGTTCACTGTTCGTATTCAGATATATTCAGGAATATATCTGTTTAGCTAGCCCCATCTGCATGACTTCCCAACACAATTTTTCCAGCAATAGCTTCAATTTCCCTAATGACCATTTGAACTTTACAGCAATTTTTTCTGTTTAGCAGACAGGAGATTTGGCAAATTCTCAAACCCATTGAGCTTGGTTAAGAAAATAGTGTGAGCTGTCTGAGCCCCTCATAGGCTCTTTTCTTAGGAACCATGTGTAGTTCTGTGCCCTATAACCTGAGGAGTGTGGACTGTTTTGAAAAGTTAATCAAATTGTTTAAAAGGTTTTGCTAGATATTAAGGCATTAGAAAGTGGAGCATATAAAGTGAAGACAGCGCGTAGAAAAGGAAGCTTGAGTGATTCACTACCATTCTTCAAGTGTATGGAGGAATCCCAGCAGAAGAATGTTGACTGGTTTTGACCTACTGCCTTTAAAAGAACAACACAAAGGAAATAGATTTGAAACAGCAACAGAAAGAAGGTGAGATGTGAGAAACACCAGTCTGAATGTCAGGACCCAGAGGTTGGTATCAGAGTATATAAATACTAGAGAAGATTTTAGAAAAATAAGGGGCATTGATTGGTGCTTGGTAACTGAAGGTATGAGGAATTGGATGACCTCTATGTTCCATTCTACTTGAGGATTCTAAGATCAACCAAGATGAGTGAGAAGCAGCTCTTTCTGACCTGGGCTAACTCACTCTTTGTCATTGTCCCTCCATTTGATTCGAGGATTATAGCATGTTATGCTTTTTTGTGAAATTGCTTTTAATTGATAATGAGCATCTTATCAGATAGGAGTAGAAAGTGCTTTATCCACCCTCTTTCCCCATTGTGATTTGCTGTTCTCTCTGGTCACAGACCTTTTGGGGACTGGGCCAGTGACCATCTGTTCCAGACCCACAGAAGACCAAGTTGAATGGCAAAGTCCAAAGGACTTGTTTGTACCTTGGCCACTCAAAGGCCAAGGCACCCTACTGGAGTTGAGAGAAACAGCTATGGAAGTATGCAAAAAAAGGGAGTTGAACTATGAAGTTATCCCTTTGCTCTGGTCTCACAAGGAGGCCTGAGGAGCACCACACAGCTCTCGGAAGTGTTCAGACACCATTTGCTTGAACACTAGGAGACTGGCTCATCATTTTTCCTTGGCTGGTACAGTACGGGACATCGCACACTCTTGCTTCCACTCAGGGGAAGTTGGGTATGGGGTTAACAGTGAGCAAAGTGGTCTTCTCCAATGTCACGCAGGTCAAGGCCAGCCACTTCTGGGGGACTCTGACAGGTGAGGTTATTGTAGGTATACACAGGAGCCTGGCAGTCATCCCTCTCTTGAATGGCTTGGACAAAGCGGGGTACCACGCTGGGCTCCTGCAGGGAGAAATCCCTCAGCCCCTTTAGGGAACAGCTACAGTTCCACTTGTTTCCTTCCAGCCACAGCTGCTCCAGGGCTGGGAGCTGGGTAGAGAAGGCCCTCAGAGAGTTGTTCTTGAGGCTGAGATACCTGAGGTTCCCCAAAGGTGCAAACAGGCCGTCGGTTATGGTTTCTATGTGGTTGTGGGAAAGATCAAGCCAGAACAAATGCTGGAGGGAGCTGAAGGTGTCTGGGGAGAGATCCGTTAGCCGGTTGTGGGAAAGAAGCAGGTACTCCAGGTTCTTGAGACCCTGGAAGAGCTGGCTGGAGAGGAGCATCAGCATATTGGACGTGAGGTCCAACTCCAAGAGTTCATTCAGTTCCATCAGGCTCTGGTCCTCGATCTCGGAGATGCTGTTATGCTTCAAGAAGAGTCTCCGTAAACCAGGAAGGCCAGAGAAGGTATGCCGCTGGACCCTGTTAAGGCAGCTGCTCTCCAGGTGAAGGCTGTGCAGTTTACTGAGCCCTTTGAAGACCTGCTCAGGGAGGCTTTTGATGCAGTTGCTGGACAAGTTCATCACAGCCACATTGAAGAGGCCAGGGAATGCCCCAACCTTGATGTCCTGGATCTGATTGTGGTTAAGGGTGAGGACTTCCAGCTGGCCCAGACCCTCAAATGTCCTCTCCCCAAGGCTCCTGATCTTGTTGTGCCCGAGCTGCAGCTCCTCCAGGATTTGCAGGTCTTTGAAGGTCCTGGGCCGGAGGCTGGTGATGGCATTGTTGGAGAGGCGCAGGACGTGCAGACTGAGGAGGCCCAGGAAGGTCTCCTCAAAGAGGACGCTGATGCGGTTGTGAGACAGGTCCAGCCAGCGCAAGGACCTGAGGCCTAGAAAAGCACGGGGTGCAATGGTGCTGATGAGATTGTGGCTCAGGTAGAGCTTCTGCAGCTTCTGCAGCTTGATGAAGACATTGGCCTTGATGCTCCGAAGAGCATTTCCACTCAAGTCCAGCTCTCGGAGCTCAGTGAGGCTGCAGAAGAGCTGGGGCTGCAAGTAAGCCAGCTTGTTACCAGCCAGGATGAGCTCTCGGAGGTTGGGCAGGTCATGGAACAGTGTGTCTGGGAGAACCACCAGTGAGTTCCAGCCGAGATTCAGGTCCCAGAGGTTGGAGAGCCCAGCAAAGAGGCCCTCTTCCACCTTGCTGAAGTAATTGTTGTTGAGGCTCAGGGAGACCAGGTTTTGGGTGTGCAGGAAGGTGTTGGGGGCAAGATATTTCAGTCGGTTTCGTTCCAGGTGTAGGTGATACAGGGCCCTGAGTCCATGGAAAGCATGCGGCTCCAGGCTGCCCACCTGGCTGCTCTGCAGGTTGAGAAAATCCAGGCCGGAGAGGTTTTTGAAGGCGCCTGTGGGGAGAGTGGTGAAGTTGTTGCCATCCAGCCACAGAGCCTTGGTGGTGCCAGGCAGGACATTGGGGAGCTGAGTGAGGTTTCTGGAGCTACAGTATACGTTGAGCTCTTCACTGTAGTCATCATAGCTACAGGCACAAACACCAGGGCATTTTAGGAGTTCAGGATCACTGGGCTCTGCTCCCTCCGGGCTCAAAGAGCACCTGGCTGCAGGGCACACCATCACCCATGGGAGCAGCAGCAGCCGCACTGCCAGGGGAATGGCTCCTACAGGTGAAGAACAAAGCCTGAGTTAGGTGTGGCACCAGGGCCGATAAAGCACTCATTCCCCTATTCAAATAAATAAATGGTAAAACAGTCATCTTCTCTGTAGAAGGAAGCGTGGCTCTAGGGGAATCAGCCCCTTCCCACCTCTGCCACTCAGTGTGACTTCTGATGGACAGGTTCTTCTTGGGCCTCCGTTTCCCAAAACCTCTAAAATGAAAGGGTTGGATCTATTAAAATCCCTAAAATGTTTCTGGTTCTTCTGTGGCACTAATCCCTGAAACCTTTCCCTTATGAGTGCATTCCTTATACCTTCCCCTCCTATCATTTTACTGGGGGAAAAACGAGCTCATAGAAGGTGACTCATCCATTGTCACACACATTCTGAATGTGTCTTGTTTTGATGAGCATGGATTTGTCCTTCTGTGCATGAGTTCTACTCCAGAGCCAAATCCCACCTCAGAGCCACCTGCCCTGCTATGTGTATCACAATCAGCTCCTCATTCCGCCCCTACTCCCACCTCATCTTTCTGTAGGGTGGTTTTATAGTAGCCCTGTTGGAGTACCCAACCCCCATCCTCATTCCTCAAACCACGGTTCTGTTCCCTCTGCAACACTTGTGGGACACTGGACCCAAGAAGGCTCAGGTTCTGAGTTTCAGGATATGTGAACTGAGGAGTTCTATGGATATGACTCTCCAACCAGAATATGACTTTCCACTCTTTAACCTGAGCCCCTGACACTTGGAGCCGAGCCTTGATAAAGGCTCAGGATAGGAGAGGGTGGAGAGAGCAAGAAGGGAGGTACGGAGAGGTGCTGCAGTTTGGATGCTGCATTCAGCAGTGGAAGGTAGAAAGGGACATTGTACTATTACATATTTTAACTCCTCCACATTAGACTACAAAGCTTGCTCCCCTGCCGCGGAGGCGTTTTTGTGCCCAGGATCTCGCTCTCCATTTCCGTCCCTGGTGAAGTCAAGAAGGGAAGGGACCAAATCTTAAATTATTTTCCTCTCTGTGTGCCTCGCACATAGTGCTTAATAAACGGTAATTGAATCTACACGGTTATAGAATTTACAACCGGAATGGACTTTAGAGACCATCTAGTCCAGAACTGGGCAACCTCCGGCATCAAGGTCACACGTGGCCTTGATGCCAGAGGTTGCCCACCCCTGGTCTATTCTAATACTCATTTTACAAAGGAGGAAACTGAGGTCCATCGAGGGGAAGGAACCTGTCCAAACTCAAGCAGTTGCTGGACAGATTTATCACAGACATATCAAAGAGGCCATATTGAAGAGGAAGCAAGTAGCAAGACTGGAATTTGAACCCTGATCTGATTTAAAATCCAACTCCCTTTCCACTACACCAAAGGGAGTTGTCTGTATGGGCTTCGAATTTGTTCCAATCACAAGGGATTTTCGGATGCCCTCGGACCCCTAAAAACTTTGGCCGGGACCATACGAAGAACCAGGTGCTTTAGGGGCAATAGGGTCTGGCAATGGAATCATTTCATCAGGTAATGTGATGAAGGCACGGTAGTTCTGAGGACTTTCATTGACCATAACAACACATTCATAGAGGGCGTTAAAATTTACATAAGCCCTTTTCCTCACAGTAGCCCTGGAAGGTGTGCAAATATTCTCATCCATTATTTTAGATGGGGAAACTGAGGTTCAGTGATTTGTCCATATTCACCCAGCTAAGTATCAGAACCAGGATTTGAACCTTGCTCTCTTACCTCAGAGTCCAGTGCTATTTCTGTTGTAAACTAGAAGGGGTCCATATCCCCTGAGACAAGAGAGACTGGTTGTGAAAATGTGTGTCCAAGGGACTCTGGGTTTCCAGAGGTGGGTGAGTGTCAGCACCAGCTCCCAGCACAGCTAAAGGAAGGCTAGCCAAGGAGGACTGGTGCCCCCTTTGGGAACCCTTGATTGTCTGAGTAGAGACAGGTGTGGCTCAGTCATCCTCTGAGTGTGTCCACTATTGCTGCTTGGGGTTAGGGGAGTTCCTGTCCCCTCCCTTAGCCTGCTCTTGTTCCAACTGAGGGGTCAAAGTAGCAGGGAAAGGGACCTCCTCAAAGCATTATGGCCAAAGGGGTGAGGGAACATCTCAAGGGGCTGATTGACAGGGAGAAGGAAACCTCTAATTTTCTCTGAATAGGAATTTAATCCTCTTGAGATGTCGTCAAAGACCTAAGCCTGCTCTCTGCTTTGGGATAAGGCCCTACTGCTTCTAACTCACTTCTGCTCCTTTAAGACCATGTGTGTGCCTGAGGTGGGGGGGAGGGGAGAGCCCAGGCAGCAGCACAGAGACCCTCCAGGGGCCCTTCATACCAGGCACTACTACGTTTCCTGGGCCCCCCCCCACCAAGCCACATTCCTGATCTCACACACACTGCCACCACTCCAGCTGAGGGGCTGACCCTGACCACCTGGGAGTATTCTTATCCTTCTCTTTTTGCCTCCACCATTGCTCTGGAGGGGTCTATTGCCGAATACTAGCATCTATCCCCACCCCAGGAATATGAATACAGCTACCCCTGACTGGAGGCTGCACCCAGGCTCCTGAACAGACTGTTCAGGGTGTGGGGTCCCTGGAAAGATGGAGTTGGATACAAGGAGCCCTTGTTCCCCAGGAAGGGAAGAAAACCTGGACACCCAACCTATGCTTCTGATTTCAGAGTAGAAAGAAGTTTGGGGGGTGGGGGGTGGGGAAGGTGTTTCTCTCTGCAGGAGGTTCCCATAGAAGTTAGTTAGGTCTGCTCAGTATCCAGGGCATGGGGTTCTTTGAACCCCCCACCTTACCTTTCCTTTGGGTCATCCTAGTGGAAGCCAGGCTAGGCAGTCAGGAGAGTCCCGTATAGCAGCGCTGCTCCCGTTCTCTGGATTTCCCCACTGCTAGTAGTGCAGCAACCACCCTGACACCCAGCCAGCACAGCCCAGCTTGGCCCAGGTTCCTTTAACCCTCCAGGTGCCAGTTTGGACTGGAGGGAGGCTGTGTGTCTGGGCGGGTGTGGGGCACCTATGAGAGGGGCTGCTCCAAGTGCCTTCTCTCATCCCTAATTCTTTCCCGCTGAGTCAGAGGTGCTTGGAGCAGCATCTCTAACTGAAAACAGATGCCCAGAGCTCAACAGAGCTGGGGGGGTGGGGTGGGGGGCTTCTAGGTTGTGGACCGTGAAAGGATTAAATGAGCTGCCCTGCCCCCGTGAGGCTCGTGCAGATACCTGGCAGGTGTGGGGGGCCCAGGTTGAGAAGCTAGCTTTGTGGGCTCCCAAGAAGAGTCCAGCTCTCTTGAGCTAGTCTGCCAGGAAGTAGAAGGTTGCCCACTTGGAAAGTTACCCCTCTCCCTTTGTTAACACAAACTCCCAAGGATCCCACACTCCAAACCCCGAGAAACTCAAGTATAGCCTGTGCTCAGAGGCAGCTAGATTTCAGCCCTCAGGTTGGATCAGAGGAGATGCTGGGCCTTGGAAAAATGGCCCTTCAAGGGAATTGGGGGGCAACTGGGGAAAATAGGGATTGCTCAGCTCTCTCAGAGGTCCCTCCTCCCAACTCTGAATAGGCAGGCTATGCCAGGGGTCAAGAAGCTGCCACCATGTTTCACCATGAGTCTGGCTTTCTGGTCTGGATCGATGAACAACCTGCCCTCAGACTGAAGTTCTCGAAGAGTTCTGTTGGTGTCAGCTGTCTTGGCTTTCTAGAATCCCTGGGGGAGGTGAGAGAAGGGAGCTGTCTGGCTAACAGCGCCCTTTTCTCAGGCACGGCCCCTGCCTCTTTGGGTGACCTCACTGTAGCCCCAGGGCCTCAGTCTCCTCCCCTCCTGGCTGGGATGAATTGAGCTAAGCACAGTGACTGTCCAGGTGCCACAGGCAGCCCCCTCTTCTAGGAAAGCCTGGCAGGGTTATTCACTAACCCGTGTTTGTTTTCCCCAGTGGCTGTTCTCTTACATTGGGGGTTCTGAGCTGTCATAGGGGTAGGCAAACGAGGTGATTATTCTTTCCCATTAGCAAATCAAGCAGAAGATCATTTCCTAAGTCACCTCAGGTGCACTGACCTTGGGGTGAGTCACACTCTAGAAGTCACAAGTGTTGGCCCTCTTCTGGGTCTACAGTCTTCTCAGCTCCCCCTGCCTGCCCAAGCATAAAACAAGGACCTTGGGAAAAAAGCCTCTGGGCAGAGGGGTCTGACCTCTTCCATGGCCAGGGGATGTCCCACATCTCCAGGAATTCTTAAGCCCCCATTGGAGCAGCCGCAAGATCAGCAGATCTAGGAATCCTGGCCTGTTGAAGGGTCCTTAGCCTGTCCTTAAGCTCAGGAGACATTTGTGAACACTAGGGTAGGCCAGAGCAACAACCGCTGCTGTTTCTATTATGGGAGGAAGAGACTGGGGAGAGGAGTGAGTGGAGGAAGAGAATGAAAATAATACAGAGACCTGGGTTTGAATCCTGACTCTCAATCTTGTGTGTGTTAACCCTGAGCAAATCCTTTAACTTTTTTGAGCTTCAGTTTTCTCATCTGTAAAATGGGGATAATACTGTAGTATGTACCTCACCAGGGCGTTGTGAGATTCTAATGAGATAATATGAAACATAAAGCGTTTCACAAGCTTCAAGAAGTTCTCCACACGTCAGCTCTCCGTAGTAATCATTGTATCAGTGTAATCTGTGCTCCTGTCTGTCTCACAAAGTCCTTTTCAGGCCTTGCCTGCTAGGCCTCTGGCCCAGCTCTCCACATGCTAGGACTCACTCAGAGGGAGAAGGGAGAGCAGAGCACGTTATGGCAGGGCCCTGGATCCTAGGAGACACATGACCGCCTATCCCTTGCCTCTAGTCTCTGCCGTGCTGGTGGCCCCTGACATTCATGCTGGCCCCTGTTCCAATCCGTGCAAGGAATTCCCTGTGAGGAAACCCCTCTGCCACTACCGATAGGCAGCTGAGCACCTGGAGAAGAAGGACTTTTGCCTCTTTTTGTATTCCCAGTGCTTAGCACAGTGCCCACATAGTAGGTGCTGAATCATGTTTATTGATTGATTAAAGAAATGCCTGGAAGCCTTGAGGTTAAATGACTTGTCCAAGGCCATACATCTAATATAATGTCCTATGCAGATCTTCCTGACTTCAAAACCAGTTCTCTCCTAGCTCCTCCAAACTGCTGTACAAGTTATTATGATAACAAATTTTAGAAACCTTATATTTGCATAGAGCTTTACATGCAGGGTGTCCCAAAAGTCTTAGTGTATGTGGTAGAGTATCAGAAGATTTGGAGTCAGGAAGATCTAAATTCAAATCAGGCCTCAGACATTTAATAGCTATGTGACTCTGAGCAAGGCACTTAACTTGTTTGCCTCAATTTCCTCATCTGTAAAATGGGGATAATAATAGCACTACCTCCCAGGGTTATTGTAAGGAGCAAATGAGATAATTGGATAGCTCTTAGCTCAGTGCCTGGATCACAATAACCATTATGTAAATGCTAGAATTCTTGTTATTAACATTATTACCTCATTTGTGCCTCCCAACAGCTCTTTGAGATATATTGTATAAATGTGGTTTTCCCTGTTATATAGAAAGGCAGAAACATTAGATAAGATTAGACATTAGACATTGTCTGCTGACTCAGATCAGGGCTCTTTCCCTTTTGTTCCAGACTGATGCCTCTTGTTAATTTGTGATCTTTACCCATTACTGACCCTGGGCTAGAACAACTCCTCACCCTAGTCCGTTGAGCTCCTGGTTTCCCCTTCCTCATGAGAATCATCACTCTTCCCAAGCTTCTGACCATGCTCATTTTAACTTTAGGCCCTGCCCCTTCCCACCTGCCCCTAAGGACACCTACTCCACTTTCCTGCTCTCTTATGGCCTGGGTCAGTTCTGACCTGCTTGGTAGCTCATTGTTGGCACTCAGCAATGCCCCCTTCCTACCTCAGTACCCCTGTGCTTAAAATGAATCAGTCACTGTTCTCAGTCTCACATCCTAAGTTAGATACCAATTGGTCAGTACCTTTGGGTCTGGGAAAACCATGGGTGTGTTTGTGGCAAAAGAACACCTGAGTTCTCTCATTTTTTTGAACTATGGATGCTGAAGGGACAAGGGGAAGATAGGGCCATGATCTGGGAGGTGCATTGATAAGTGGTTGGGGATCTTCATAACTCCAGGGGACCCCAAGATTTTTGGAACCTCTTTGTGCAGTTAATATAGAAGATTGCAAACAGGGTGTGTGTGTGTGTGTGTGTGTGTGTGTGTGTGCGCGCGCGCGTGTGTAAAACTGAAGGAATAAGGCTGTGCGAATGTAATGGGTTTAGCAAACAGACAATGAGAGTGGGGATCTATACTCCCTGGCTTGGCTTTTTTACTTCACTAAGGCTGGGGCTGGGACCCATAGTGTAAACCTCTGGGAGGGTCCAGGGGCTTTGGTCAGTTCAACAAGGCCATTTAGAGCTGAGGGTGCTGGCTGCTGATTCCCCTTTAGGTCTAGGAGCTTTCTCCATTAAACCTATCCAAGCCAGGTGGAGAACGTAGCCTGGTTTCCAGGAAGAGGACACAGCCTAACTCTGTTGGCCTCCCAGATCCTGTCCATCTCTTCCCCATTCACCCCCAATGCTGCTTTGTCCTTCCTCTTGCCATCAATCAGTCACCTTGAGCTTAGGAAGACAGGGAAAGACCCTGCAGATCTGGGAAGGCCTCCTGTCTCCCATTATTTCACTCTCCCTAAGACTTGAGGCTTCGATCTTCACAGAACTATCTCTCAGTCTCTTTGGCAACCCGCACCCAGATCCCCAGCCAGGCCTTGTCCCCTGCTCTCCCACCTACACATTGCTCAGTGGCAATCAACTTTATCTCTTTTCCCTTTATTGAGCTTTGATTCTTTTCCAGATCATTTCTCAGCTTCCATTCTGAGAAATTATAGATCCACAGGGAGAAAGTCCACGCCCAGAAGGGCCTGAGGACAAGTTTACACAGTAGAAAGTGCAGATTCAGCAGGGATTCTGGGGCCAGGAATACTGGAACTAGGGACTTCTGAGGATTCAGAAACTCTGCTCGAGAAAGTTCTTCAACCACTGACCTTTCCTGAATGGCTTAAAGGCCTGATCAGGCAGAGAAATCAGCATCTCAGGGGACACAGAAGCCTGGCCCCATAGTTCAATCAACAAAGGAAACCCCAAATTTTCTTTCTAGGCCCTTGGTCAGTCCTAGAATACTCGTAGTTCATTAGCCCCATCAGAGGAGGACAAAGCCTTCTCTTCTTTTCCTTAGGACTCCTTCAACTTCTTTCTGGGTTGGGATCCCTATTCCTAAGGAGCCCTTATCACTTGCTTTTCAGGACATTGTCGTTAGACCAGGCCATTTGTCACCTCTGGGTTGAGTGTTTGGCATGAGAGTAGAGAAAAATCCACCAATTTTTTTTTTTGAGGAGGTGGGGAGAGAGGGCAGAAAGGAGCTTGGTATGCACTTGTATGTGTATAAGCCTCAATTTGCACTCTGAGACAATGACCTCACTATCTAGAGAATGATAGTATGTCTCATTCATCATGAGTCTTCTGGAATTGTGGTTGGCCATGATGTTGACCAGAGTTCCAAAGCCTAAGTTCTTTGTCTTTACAATATTGTTATTATGTAAATTGTTCTCCTGGTGCCTATCACTTCCCTTTGCATCAATTCATACAGTCTTCCCAGATTTCTCTGAAACCATCCCCTTCATTATATTTTACAATGCAATAGTATTCCATGACATTCTTCTCCATAACTTGTTCAGACAATTGATGGCACCCTCTCAGTTTCAAATTCTTTACCACAAAACAAGCTGCTATAAATATTTTTGCACATACACATTTTTGTACATTTATGTACATTTTTGTACAATATTTTTGTACACATTTTGTACCATATGGGTTCTTTTTCTCTTTTTTGATCTCTTTGGAGATAGAACCCACTAGCAGTATTGATGAGTCAAAGAGTATGCAAAGTTTAATAACTTTTTGGACGTAATTCCAAATTGCTTTCTGGAGTAGCTGGACCATTCACAGTTGCATCAAGAATGCATTAATGTGGGGCAGCTAGGTGGAATAGTAGATAGAGCACTGGCCCTGGAGTCAGGAGGTCCTGAGTTCAAATCTGGCCTCAGACACATAACACTCACTAGCTGTGTGACTCTGGGCAAGTCATTAACCCCAATTGCCTTACCCAGGAAAAAAAAAAAAAGAATGCATTAATGTACCTATTTTCCCATAGCCCCTCCTGCATGTCATTTTCCTTTTTTGTCATCTTGGTCAATCTGATGGGTGCAAAGTGGTACCTCAGAGCTGTTTTAATTTGTATTTCTCTAATTATTAGTTAGGTGGTGCCATGGATAGCACTGGGCCTGGAGTCGGGAAGACCTGAATTCAGATCTGGCCTTACATACTTAATAGCTGTGTGACCCAAGACAAGTCACTTAACCTCTGTCTGCCTCAGTTTCTCAGCTGCACTATGAGGATAATAACACCTACCTCCCAAGATTGTTGTGAGGATCAAATGAGATAATATTTGTAAAGTACACAGTGCCTGGGCTCATAGTAGACATTTAGTAAATGTTTTTGAGTTGTTGTTTTTTTAATGTAGAGCATTTAAAATATTTTTAATATGGGACACCTTCAAGGTGCAGTGGATAGAGTACTAGGCCTGGAGTCAGGAAGACTATTCTTCCTGAGTTCAAATCTGGTGTCAAACACTTCCTAGCTGTGTGACCCTAGGCAAATCACTTGACCCTGTTTGCCTCAGTTTTCCCATCTGTAAAATGAGCTGGAGAAAAAAATGGCAAACCACTCCAGTATCTGTTAAACCCCGCTAATTTCTGCTACTAGGAAGAAAAGGCCAGTCTTAATGTTATATTCATTAAGTAAATGAACTGAGTTGATTTAAAATCGGAGGTGTCAAGCTCTTCTAGCCAGCAAAACGCTGAAGTGCTGCCACTGGGTCACAAAGAGTAGGACCCTGCTGATGAACAATTGTGAGACTTGGCAGCTAGGCAGTTCAATGGATAGAGTGCTGGGCCTGGCGTTCAGGAAGATGTGAGTTCAAATCCAGCTTCAGACACTCACTAGCTGTGTGACCCTGGGCAAGTCACTTTACCTCTGTTTGCCTAATACACGGGAGAAATGGCAAACTACTCCAGTTTCTTTGCCAAGAAAACCCCATACAGGATCACAAAGAGTCAGACATAACTGAACAACAGCAACAGTTTTTAATGTAGTTATTGATAGCTTGGATTTCCTCATATTCTTTTGACTATTTATCAATTGGAGAATGGCTCTTATTCTTATAAATTTGAATCAGTTCCCTATATACATACATACATACATATATGTATATATATATGGCAGGTAAACTCCTTTCACTTCTTCCTCTAATTCATGATCTCACCCTTTATGTCTTAAGTCCTTTTACCCATTTGGAGTTTGTGTTGGCATATGCGATGTTGTTCTATACCTAATTTCTGCCCTACTACTTTCCAGTTTTCACAATAATTTTTATAATATATTGAGTTCTTGCCCCAAAAGTTGGGATCTTTGGGTTTATCAGACACAAAACTACCATGCTCATTTACTTCTGTATATTGTGTACCTAATCTTTTCCACTGATCAGTCTCTCTTTTCCTTTTGTTGTTGTTCAGTTATTCAGTTATGTCTGACTGTTTGTGATCCCATGGACCATACTGTCTACGGAGTTTTCTTTGTACACTTAATTTTTATCTTCCTATTAGTTTTTGTTTGTTTGTTTTAGGCAATTGGGGTTAAGTGACTTGCCCAAGGTCACATAGCTAGTGTTACATGTCTGAGGTCAGATTTAAACTCAGGTCCTCCTGACTCTAGGGCAGGCGCTCTATCCATTGCTCCACCTAGCTGTCCCTCCATGGCGTTTTCTTGACGAAGATTCTGGAGTGGTTTCCTTCTCTAGTTCTCTTTGTCCTACCCAATGCTAAATTGTTTTGATGATTACAACTTTGTAATATAGTTTGAAAGCTGATACTACTAGGCCCCCTTGCTTCCCACTTTTTTTCATTCATTCTCTTAATATTACAGACCTTTTTTTTTCCTTCCTGATGAATTGTTATTATTTTTTCTAGTTCTATAAAGTAATCCTTTGATAGTTTAATTGGTATGGCATTGAAAAAGTAAATTAGTTTAGTGAGGTCATTTTTGTTATGCTGGCTTGGCCTACCCATAAGAAGTTAATATTTTTCTAGTTATTTATATCTGTCTTTATTTGTGTGAAGAGTGTTTTATTGTATTCATGTAATTTCCGTATCTTGGCAGGTAAAGTACCGAGCGTTTTATACTATCTGTAGTTATTTTAAATGGAATTTCTCTTTCTATTTCTTCTTGCTGGACTTTGTTGGTAATAAGCAGAAATGCTGATGATTTGAATGGGTTTATTTTATATTCTGCAACTTTGCTAAAGTTTGTTGTTTCAGTTAGCTTTTTTTTAGATAACTCTAGGATTCTCTAGGTAACATGTCACCTGCAAAAAATGTTAATTTTGTTAGCTTTTTGCCTGTCCTTATTCCTTCAGTTTCTTTTTCTTATTACTACAGCTAGCATTTCTAGTACTGTATTTAATGGTAATGGTGATTATGGCTATCTTTGCTTTACCTTTGATCTTACTGGAAAGGCCTCTAGCTTATCCCCATTACAGATAATGCTGGCTGTTGGTTTTAGATAGGTACTACTTATCATTTTAAGGAATGCTTCATTTATTCTTATGCTTTCTAGTGTTTTTCATGGGAATAGGTGTCATATCTTGGACATATGCTCACAGGCTCATTGATTCACAGCTGCTATTGGGCTTACACACCAGCTTCATCACTTCGCATAGCTTTTTGTATATTTATTGATATAATCATATGATTTATGTTGTTTTTATTATTTATATGGTCAATAATGTATATAGTTTTCCTAATATTAAGTCAGCCCTTCATTCCTGGTGTAAAACCCTGCCATCTTTTCAATGAACCTTGAGAAAGCTGTTGGCAGAGATGTGGGACATGTTCTCCTGTCTGAAAGCCTGTCTTTAGGAAGGCAGCAGCTTAGGTACAGAGCCCAAAGAACCTCAACATGTGATGCGGTAAAGAGAGTATCTGACTGTGACTCAGGACACTTGGGTTCTTAGAGAGGGGTATTGAAGCTTCCAGGAGTCCCAATCCTGCCATTAACTCACTGTTTGACATTGGAAAGTTACTTTCTCTCTGGGCCTTAGTTTTCCCCTCTAAAATAAGTAGGAAGATCACTGAAGTTCCTCCCCTATCTAACGATAATCTATGATTCTCTGATTCTAAAGGAGTTGAAGAGGCTTTTTACTTTTAAAAAACAAACAAACATGTTCATGGATTTCAGAGGTTTCAGGGCATTATCCACCTCCTTATGGATCTGTTGCCTATAGGCAAGTAATATCTACAGGAGAGGTGGATATAGGGAAGTAGCCTGGTCCCACAAGGGGCCTCAGCCTCAGTAACCTCAGTAACCAGGAGTGTTCTGAGCTTGTAAAACCCAAATAGCCAGTTTCACTGAGGCCTGAGAAAGCCAAAGGACAGGCTGGAGAGAGATCTTCAAAGAGCAGAGCCTCCAAGAGTCCACAGTGCCTTGGACCCTGATTTAGGGCCCCAAAATGTGGGGACCTAAGCCAGGAATATATCAGGATTATCCAACAAGCCATACTCTTGAACTATCAACAGTATTTAAACTGTGGATGAGAAAGCATATTAGAATTCTTAAATGCTTTTTTTTTTTTTTGCAGATGACATTATTAAAATTCTACTGATAACTTCTTGCTCTGGGGTAAAAATATTGTGTGCATTTTAGATAAAGAGAAATTGAATTCCCACACACTTTAGTAGCTTGTCTGGAATGATGTTGTTATCCAGGGTCAGAACTAGATGGTTTAAGGGTTACCAATCTCACACCTAAGTCTTTGAGCCCTTTAGTGTCATGAAGTATTGCACGGGATAATCCCTGAGGTCTCCCCCAGCTCTAGCAATCTGTAATGCTAAATGAAGCATGTAGAAGACTTTCTACCTTAAATAGAAAGGAGCTTCAGGAAGCTGAGTAAATTTAGGGCATCATGCATGTGTCCATAAGTCTATTGGCTAAAGGCATGTAATTTCCATACTACAGGAAGATGTAGGGAGATAGCACAGTTCCTACAGGGGCCTTCAGTTAGTAAGCAGGAGTCTACTAATTGACCAAGTAAAGGAGTAAGGACTGATTGGGGGGGGGGGGGGGGGTCATGAAAACCATTTAGGCTGAAAAGGCCCTTTTCTCAGATTTCCACAAGGACAGCAGGGGTCAGTTTGGAAACAAATGATAAACATTTCCAATTCTAGACAGCAAATCAACAGATGCAATCTAGCAGCCTTCTGTTTTCAACAGTGAAGAATTTATTAGAGAAACCATTACACGCTATGCCTACTCAACACTTATCACAGAAGATAAAATTCATTCAGAAACAAGAATAATACTCCACAGTGCTTCTCCTTGAGGAGCTCAAAGTGCAGAACAGACACAGGTTTCATCTTCCCCTCCAATAGGGAGCAGCAGGAATTCTCCCTCCCCACAGGAGAATGGATATACACCCCTCACAAGCTCATTGATTCACAGCTGCTATGGGGCTTACACACCAGCTTCATCACTTTGCATAGCATGAAAGGGGCAAGCCAATGGCTGCCTATTTTTCACAAAATTAAACCCAAACTTATTAAAAAAAAAAGATTCAACCCCCCCCCCCAAATTCAAATGCAGAAATGAAACTTTGTAACTAGAAACTCAGTCTGTGAGCTGGAGAGAGAGCTGGTAGAGTGCCAACAGCCCTCTTCTCCTTGCCAGTCAGTCGGTGGGCAGGTACAGAATGGGGACCATCTCATCCCCCTCCCCCAGTACCTCCAGAAAAGCCCAATGTGAAGTGACCCAGCTTCTCAGGAGTCTTGGTCTGTTTTTTGAATAGGACATAAGCAGTCCTGCAGGTTGATCCCCACTTGGGGAATGTGTCTGAGACTATTCGGTCAGGGTCTGGTGGCATTCCATTCATTCTCTGGAGATGTTAAACCCTAACTTCAACTGAATGGTAACAGTAGCCACAATTGAGATTAGCCAAGGACAGAAATGCCCTGCTGTAGAATGGGTGGGCAGCAAGTTATAATTAATCATGTTCCTATTCTATCCTGGGCACTAAAGCACATCAGAAGGTGGGACTGGCAAGGATTCACATGGGGTAGAATTTTCTCAAAGCTGTGTGACATTCAAGGACCCTCCCATGGGATGACAGCAAGTGAGAAAAGGGAGAAGAGTCCCTTTATCTGAAAAGTAAGACTTAGCAACTGTAACTGTTTCCACTGTGATTCTAGATGCCCAATTTAGACCTGACTTCTTCTCTGGGAACCTTTCTACAGCTTCAGATCACAGTCTTCCTCCACTTTCCTCTTCCTCCTCACCTATGCAGGGGGAGCAAAGCAAGCCCCCCATATCTGCTCTGTTCAGTCATTACCAATCTAGTAGCCAAATTTTATTGGAGGATGATGAGACAAAAAGGGACCAGACAGAAACAGGCTTACAGGTGAGGCAAAGAGAAAAAAATACTCCCTGGGCCCCCATTCACTTTCTCATTAAAAACAAACCAAAAACACAACCCACTAACCACCAAAAAAAAAAAAAAAAGCTACCCAAAACAGCCACTCTTAAGTTTCCACTGCTTTAGTTTCTTCATTACTGGAAAGCTCACTCAGCAACAGTGTAGTCTAAAGGACAGCCTCCCAGGGCTCAACTATGCGCAGTTTATGTGAATGAAAATGCAGTGTGGCTATAAAGAAATAAGACAAATTTCCATGGTAACTTATAGAAATTAAGTCTTATTACTTAATAATTATACTGTATTTGAAGGGGCCCTGAACTACCCTTTTCCCTCCCACTTAGAAACACAGAAAACAATTTAAAGGTTAATGAAACCCCTGCCATCACTGAGCTCAAAACCTATGCTCTGAATTAAGGTGCCCAAAAGGAATCGCACTATACCAACATTTTGGGTCAAATGTTATTGAAAGAGACATTGGAACTTTAAAGGCTAAATGCATTTAGCAAAGTTGGAGAAGGTTTACTCTTTGGGCATCCATCGCATATGGTGGCTACATCTCTATCATAAATAAATTTCAAGTTTCCTTTGATAAAACCTTCCCAGGCAAACCTGTGAACATATTTTTGACCACATCTAACAACAAGATGAATCACCATAGCTGGAAAAACACCACAAAACACTGCTTATTTGGCAATTGGAGGAAACCGGTTATGAAGACCAGTTTTTACTGTGACTGTAGCCATGAAGAAGCAAGCATGAGTTACATGGACTGAATAAGGATGGAACTTCTTTTCCAAAGCATTTCTTACCATTCTGCCGGTTAACCCTTTCCCATCTTCCCAGACATATTTCTGTCCAATAGAGGGACAGTCATGGTATAATCTTTGTCACGTGATCTCCAAAATGGTTCCCATTGCTACTCAGAGTAGACAATGGCTTAATATATCAAAGGGTTTCCAGGTTGCCATGGGACTTCAGTCTATCACATGTCAAGAGGTGAGGCCACTTAATGTTTAATAATGATAACACAATCTTGGACAGACAGAAGACACTTGTAAGCATCTGCCTAGAGACAGAGGCTCCTTCCTAAATATGCAATTCAAGTCAAGTGAACAAACAGAGCAAACAATAAAGCATATGTCTAGGTTGCTTGGCTTTGGTGGAGTTAAAAGTCTTTAATATCTGAAAATTGAATTCCTGTATACAGCAACGTTACGTGTTTAAGGATGTTTTCAAGCTTCTGAATCTTTAAATCTCTCAAACCAAGGTAACTCTCTCGAAGGTTCTTTTTCACCCCCTCCAAGTCTCATTCAGGTTGGGATGGGATGCCAACTTCACAGAGGACATGATCTCAACAATTTTATGTTACTACTCATAAGAGCCATGGAAAATAATGGCATAAAATTCTCCAAAATATTAACTCCAAACACTAGCCTCTGGCCTTAGAAGTTATCTTGAGGATAGAGAGGAGTCTAAGTAAAGAACTGGGAATGAAGAACCCATTTTAAATGCTAGGTCACCTTGAAGCAACAAGAAAGACCTCTTTTGTAGAGGAGCAATGAAGGAAAAGGGTCCAAAGTGTAATACCGACCAGACCTTCTTCTCCCTCCCTGTGGAACCAAGCCCAAGTGTCTCCCTGGGGTTTGGCCGAACTTGTTCAGAGCAAATATGAACTTAGGAGTTGAAAAGAGCTCAAAAAGCTAGCTGGGCTGCAGACAAAGCCTGGGGCCTCTCGTTGGGGTCAGTTTCCAGGGTGAGGGTATTTCACGAAAGCAAAGCATTGACCACATCATAGTACCTCCTCTCCCCTTAAGCTCTTAAGGAAAGCATGCCTTCAGAATCAGAACTGATCATTTACAGAATCTGAAAGCAAAAATTATATGAATAAATATTCTTTAAATTTTTTATCTTACAAATATGCCACAGAATGTTTGGCAAAAGAAACAAAGGGCTTTTAAAGACAATTTAAAAATAAAACACAAACCACAAACAAGAATGATTTCCCCACAATAACAGAAATTAATTACCTACAACATCAGAATACCCAAATTACTGTAAAAAGGACTAGCAAGAGAAATTTGCACTGTGATCATTCCTGCGGGGAACTTCAGTCTTTGGGCACTTTGAAATTATCCTTCTCCTTTCGGATGGCCCTCATGGTGGTCACAGGGTCAGTCTCGCCAGCATGCTGCTGTACGGTCTTCTCCCTGCCAGGACCAAAGACAGACAGATAGAGTGCAGTATATGAACAATGGGCACGCTGGCTTACTACGTTCAGTACTGCCCCCACCCCAAACCCAAAGGAGAGGAGCCAGAAAGCAGTCACAGATGCCACAGAGGAGGAGTGGGCTGGTGGAGGCTCTCTACCCTTAGAGCACTTTCTCTCCAACCAGGCTGACAAAGGAGGTACAGATGAAGAAAAACATTCCACTTGGAATTTGCTGATATTCTTGAAGATGAAATCATATTATTCAGTGGTCACTTTTGCTTTCTTTATTGTGAAATAGAGGAAAGTGAGAAGGATAAACGGGGCCAATTCAATTTTGGTCAGTCTAGTAACCTTGCCAATTCTTATGTCAATGTTCCAAACACAAGTAAATGAAGATATTATTTCAGTAGCATGTTTTTCGACTAAATTTCAAACACCTGAAAGTTGATTTCTTTACTCTTCCATGATGGGGGTCTGAGGTTGGGAGTTTTCATCATCCATTTTTTTCCATAAGCAATGTTACAAGAACCTAAAGTACAACACATTCCTGTCATCACCTTCCATTCCCAGAAGTTGCTCGAGGCCTCCATCCCACCTAGCAATTTTGTCAAGTGAGGGAGAAAGAGTGGGAAATGAGCCCCAGGTCTGATCACTTCTCAAGCACTGTATAGTATTAAAGGCCTACTGGTGGTGGACCCAATTCCCAGGTGTTTGTGGAAGAGAAATGGGAAAAGAGAGAAAGAGAGAGAGAGAGAGAGAGAGAGAGAGAGTGTGTGTGTGTGTGTGTGTGTGTGTGTGTGTATGCACACCTCAGCCTCCTTAGGGAATTAAATATTCAGGGAGAGGCTACTACAAAATACAGAAGGGTTCTACAAGTTCACAAAGGCACCAAGAAAAAAAAATTTCTCCAACTTTAAGAAACACTGCCAAAGCTTTTTTGGCTGCACAGATCTTGCTAATTCTTTGATACTGTATTGATAAACAGGTGGCCACATCACATTTTTCAGATAGAATCACTGAGATTTTACCTTTCTTTTCATACATATAAAAATGTTCCTCTGCTTTCAGGGATACTGCAGAAACTTCATTTTGGGAGTGAAAAGAGCAAACAAGAGAATACAGAATGGCCAGACTTCAGACCCAGATGAACCAAAAAAGCTTTATGGAGCCATATCCTGAGAGCTCCTTCTCTGAACTTCACATGGCTTAAACAAATGAAACTTCCTCATGGTTAGACTCCTTCAGTCCCTCTCTTTGAATGTAAGATCTTTTTTTTTTTTCAGCTTTGAACTACCCTCATGATGTCTCCTTAAGACACATACGAAAAGTACATGTACTCACACTTACCTCACTCTCATGAATGGGTTGTATGTAAACTCCTCAGCAATAGTAGATGGTACAGCTGGTTCTCCGATGCTACATTTTGTCTTCAAAAGAAACATATCACAATTCAAAAGAATTTTGTATTTCAGATATTTCAAAAGAAATATTTCACAACTGGTACAGTTTTTAAAAGACTGAACTTAAAATACTTTGCTGCTAAACTTAAATATAACTAGAGGAGGGCAATGGGTTTAGAAATATGCATTGCAAAAGTTTATGAAGGATTTCACAGAGTTAATTCAGAGAGAAATTTCCCCCTCTTTTACTAGGAGTTTCACTAAAAAAGGGATCCTGCATTCTTAAAGCTCCATTATAGGTGCAGGAAAACAAGTACCACATCTGGAATAAGGGGCTCTTCATCGCAAGGCCCGTATTCTGCCCCTTACGACCAGTGTGATGTCAGACAAATCACTCCCTTCTCTACACTTCAGTTAGGACCCTCATCTATAAAATGAAGGGGCTGGACTACATGACCATGGTGGTCTGTTCCAGATCCAAGTCTAAGATCATCTTGGTGCCCAGGCTCCCAGCTTTCTCCTTCCTCTTACTCCCCATCATTTTAATGCTAGCTATTACCTGGAGAGTATAATACTATCTGCTATAATGAAGAACTTTCTAAGAGCTCTTCAGCAACGGCACAAGCCACTAGGTGAGTTCCACATCCCCTCCGTGTGGAAGCCAAGATTGTATGACATTATCTAGTCTGCTTTATATCTATCATGTTTTAAAATTCACAAAATGGATACCTGGAAACAATCCCCTGCTTCTGTAACTTGCCTATGGTAATTATGGATTTAAGATGAAATTCAACCCCATGTCTCCTTGACATTAAGTCCAGGATTCTTTCCACTATCAGGGTCACCTCAGGCCTCAGTTTATATCAGGGCCTGCCTGAACAATCCGTGCAGACTGAATATCAGATGGAGAAGGTTCCTCAGGATATGTCATTCTGAAATACTCAGAAGGCACAAGCTCACCTCCTCTATTTCCTACTAGGTCTTAGCCTCCCAATCCATCACACCAATAGATCTGTTCCTGCCCGCATTCCCTTGTCACAATTCATCACCTGTCGGCATATTTAACCATAAAGTGAGCAAAGAAAAGTGATAAAACTAAACAGATGATTTGGCTGATAGTTATTGTCAGAAGCCAGAAAGGGAATAAAAATGAAAACGAATGGGGTTTTAGGACCATCTCTGGGCCAAATCAAAATAGAGAGAGTTTTAGAACGACTGAGAAGAACACAAGAATCCTGCTGGGTCACAATCGAAGTCATTTCCCCACAGATAACAATGATATTTACACAACTGGCAAATATTCTAAGAAACCAGAAAGCTCTCATGGAACCTTCTTAATCCTGCAGGAAGGTCTTAATAACTGCATATTTCCGTACTGTGGAGAGAATTCTTTTGGAGCTGTAGGGACTTCTTTAAAACATTTGCTTTTGGGGGAAGGTTTGCACAGAAGTCAAACTTTATGGCAACAATATTCCCTTGCCTCCACTCCTCTTTGTGCTGTATCCTCCTGTTAGAATGTAAATTCCTCAAGAGTAGGGACTGTCTTCACTTTTGTACTTTTATCCCTAAGACCCAGCACAGTGTCTGGAACATTAACATATAAAATAATTAATATGACATTCCATAGGTATGTAATAAATGTTTGTTGTCTGACACAATGCAGGATACCAGATGACGGAGCTCTAGTTACTGAACAGGACACACACAAAATCACGTATATTTGAAAGTGACAGGCCCAGTGGGAATACACATATGCCCTAGGCCAGGGCCATTTCCCTATTCAAGTTGTCCCCCTTATACAATAACTTAACAGTTTCAAGATGAGAGAACATTAAAGCTCCTATTCCTCTCCTAAACCCATCTCACTCACCTTAGCCCAGGCCAATTTTTCTTGAATAGCAACATTGTTTGGCTCAACATGACGTGCAAACTTGAGGTTATTGATGGTGTACTCATGACCACAGTATACTTTCTGGAGAAAGAACAAAGTATGCCATCTCTAAGAATGGGACTTGAAAAAAGGGATGAATTAATTTCTATTTCCAGACTCACCTAAATGAAAACATTCAAAGTTCTCCACTAGTTCACTCTTTCCCCTATGTAAAGTGATACCTGTCCGACTTTATCTCTAGGCCTTACAGGAATCCAACAGTCGCCAGTTGGTAGGTTTATGTGTAATGGAAAATACTCCTCAAGCCTTTGAGGGACTATAGGGCTCATGGTTTTAGTTTGGGAAAGACCAGAGATGAGTAAAAGCCTGTCAAGAAATGCTTACAGATGGTTAGGTGCCCTTCTGCCTCTCATTGGGGTGGCCACATCTGGTGCATAACATACATATATGCCTGGGAACAAAGTGCTTCCAGCAGAAAACAAAAAGACTAGGATAAAGAGGGAACAGCTAGAATCTGAAAGAAGAAAACCAAGGCAGAGTAATGAGGAAAGGAATGTGCTTCCAAGAATTTGCAAAGGGGTGATGCTATTTCTCCTTATTCTATGGATTCCAGGCAAGGGTAATAAGCTCTTTCCCACAGAGCCTACAGGCAACCATTCCAACTTGCTTTAAAATATCCTTGCCCTTTGCACAACTAACATACTTAGGAAAAGAAAGTATAACATACTGTTTCTGGGGGAAGACGGCCCAAAATTTCAAGCAGGGCTTTGTACATTTCATCTGCTGTTCCTTCATAAAACTTCCCACAACCAGCTACAAATAAGGTATCACCTGGAAGAAGAAATCTTGTTCAGTGAGACCAAAGTAGAGCCTAAGACACATGAATGACCCCTCAGCCAGGTCAGCAGCTGGGATCCTGTGGACTACGGCATCATTTATCTTTATGGTTTATCTTCGTGCTTTTTAAATCAAAGTTTTATTGGCATTTTTGTTTTTATTCCGCAGCCGTTTCTGTATATGCTGCCCCCACCTCATCCACCCAGCAGCACCCCTCCCCCCCAACCGCTTGGTAGGGCCTGTGATTTCATTAGCATAGGAAATTCCCAAATGAAGATCCTAGTCGGTACCTTCTCTGAAACTTCTGATCTCAACCAGTTGCCTAGAACACTGAGATATTAGGTGGCTTCCCAGGGTCATTTGCCTGTATGTATGTCCCAAATATGGGACTTGAACCCAGGTTTTTCTAGCTCCAAGGCCAGTTCCCACCTACTGCATAATGCTGCTTCTCACCCTTATAACAAAGAAAAATAGTTATGTAAAACTACGTGATACAGTGCCAATTCCTCTAGGCCCTCACTTTTCCAGGGAAAGGAAGGAGGTTCATTTGCTCATCTCTCCTTTCAGGCCAGGCTTGGTCATTATAATTATACATTGTCTATGATTAATTCAGGGCAAATGTAAGGTATAAAAACCAAAGCTGTCTGCCAACATGTGAAAATGACATGACTGGACTGCTCTTGACAGAGAATGTGCTTTGAATTGTCTTTCTTGTAGTGGGCATAAGGATAGAATTTGGTTAGACCACACAAAATCTGCCAGTGTCTGCCTCAGAAGGCATGAATGTACATGGTGGTTGGAATGGGTTAGGGATCAGTGACTAAGAGAAGCTTGTTACCTCCATGAGACTAAACTCAAGACCTTGGCTTCATGAACACTCTCCTTTAATCTAACCAAGGAGATCAGGTCACAAGAGGCATACAGGTCAGATGCCCAAATTTCAGCACAAGGTTCTGTCACATTCCATGAAGTCAGTATTTGGGGGCAGGTATGACTTTTTCTCTTTCATAGAAAGTCAGAGTCATTATTGAGATAACACCACAATTTCTCTTCCTAAAGGAGAAGTAGAAGTCACAAAGGCTTTAATACCCATGGACCCTCCATGGCTACCATCTTGATTGGCAAGAACCACACTAATTGGGAAGCCAATATGATAATCAAAGAAGACACTGCAGAATTGACTCCTCCCACCACCATTTGATCCTGCAGCTCCATATGAAAAAGTCTTTGGCCAAAATTTCCTCCTGAGGGAGAAAAAGACAAAACACAAGGCACTGGGGATAATTTTAGAGGGCGTGTTTATGTTCCCTTGAGAGAGACTTTCGCACTTTTCTCTTCCCCTGAATTGTCTTGTCTGATATAGCAGAAGATACAAATGAATCCCCAGAAATAGCAGAAGAGTCATCAGGAAGGCAAGCCAGGGGAAGCCGAAGACCTCAGAGAGATTCATGTTACTAATGATCCCCCACTGACAATAACCCAGATTATGCCTGGCTCTAGGATAGCCCTTTGTTTCATATGGTCACTACCTTTTCTTTTGGTTTGCTAAGTTCTAGAACTTAAAAAGAATAGACTCCTCAACATAGTTAGCAATGTATATACACTGTTCAGGGGGGTCTCATGCGCCTACCATCTTCAGAAACCAAATTCATTCTGAACACATACTAGCTGTGTGACCCTAGGCAAGTCACTTCACCTCCATCCACCTCAGTTTCCTCAACTGTAAAATGGGGATAATAACAGCACCTCCCTCTTGGGTTGCTGTGAGGATTAAATGAGATAATATTTGTAAAGCGCTTAGCCCAGTGCCTGGCACACAGTAGGTGCTATATAAATGCTTATTCCCTTCCCTTCCTGGCTGTTATCACTCAGTAAAGAAAGTCCATCAAGCCACAGAACTCACCTGCAGGGCTGTCTCTTAAACAGCCTAACTCCTCTCTTTTATGTTTTCTTATTAGTCTCTGATTATTATCCAAAACATCAAAACCAAATGAAACTCAACTTCTCTTCCACAGGAACACACCCACTAAGCACATAAAAATGTTTTCTTTCCTTGGTCCTCTGGCCCTAAGCAAAGCGTTAGCCATTCTCTCCTAACACTTCTGCTGTGTGGCTCCTGCTGGCCCTGGTGCTGGCCTGGCTAGGTTCAGACGTTCTCTCATCTGAAAGACAATGTTCTATTGGAAAGTCTTGAATTTGGAGCTTAAGGTCTGGATGAGAATCCTGGATCTGCTTACTACCTACGTGACCTTGTGCAAAAGACTTAACCTCAATGGGCCTCGGCTTCTTCCTTGGCAGAATGAAAGGTTTGTATCTTAGAGATGTTTTCCAACTCTAGATCTCAGGATGCTTTTATGCCCTCTCCTATTAGGGAAGAAAAACAGACAGGAACAGTGGCAAAGAATACCCTGCTCTTCTCAAAGATGTGGCATGTTTCCCTTTTCCTATCTTCCCCGGGGAAAGCTGTTAAACATTGGCAGAAGTAAAGAAGTTACAGAATTGCCTTTCATAAAAAATTGGGCATTTCCCTTTGCCCAGAGCCTCCACTGGTTTGCAGGGAATTGTCAGCTTTGTGAGGCTGACAGATGATGCATTTTGACGATGACAGGTATTACTTTCTAGCCTCGTAGGACCCTAAGTAGGAAAAACAGTCTGTTGTTAAGAACTAACTTGGGCATCTCCTAAGCACCTAGAGGTCTTCAAATGTATGCATATGCCAGTAAGGTACATGCCTGGGGGGACAGCAGAAGGTGTGAGGGCACGCGCGCGCGCGCGCGCGCACACACACACACACACACACCATTGTACTTACCTGTAAAAACAGCAGGGGGCTCTGAACTACTGGGCTTACTCACAAAATAACAGATGTGTCCAGAAGTGTGACATGGTGTCGACAGGCATTTGACAGTGAGAGATCCCACCTTGAATAAAGCAAGCAAAAGTGGGCTCCCAAAATAAGTTCAAGAAACACACAGACAAAGTGTAAACCCTCACCTAAGTTTGTCTTGGTCTCCACGGATCTTTGCTCAGATACTCTGCCCCCCCAACAAGGTACTCGTAGAGCCCACAAGAAGAAGAACAAATGTCCTTGGACAGGGGTTGTCAACCTTAAGTTATTTATCTTACACGTTACCCAGACTCCTGTTTTTCAAGTAACCAAAGCCATTAGTCTTAAACTTTGCTCCTAGGACAGCAGGCCCTGTTCTGTATCACAGACAGCAGCCTGCTCTCAAACAAAGGTACCAATTCTGTTCTTTCATTGCTAAATCATGTCTAGGGCGAACCAGTCATCCAGAGGTGATGGCCATGATTATCCAGAGACGACAGGCTTGATCCCCACTTCCAGTGCCACAGACTTTGAACTCTGGCTAATTAAGTTCGAAAGAAACCAAACGTAACCCAATTGATCTCAAACACCTCTGATTAAGAAAAAGAAAACTGCAGTCCCAGGGACAAGAATGAAAAGTTCAGTCATATATGGCCAGTTTTAGGCAGATGTGACTTAAAACAGCCCAGGTACAACGATTCCAGTTGTTAACCTATTCCAGGACAGAGAAGGCAGTTAATTCCAAAGTCCTTAGTTGCAAACTTCAGCATGGGAGCCCTCTAATAACCTGCCAAGAACAAACAGCCATTTTCAAACACACAAAAAGGCACTTTCCTGTCATGTGTTGGGCCTCTTCCTAGGGAAAATTTATCTTGGTGGGACAAGTGTGAGAGAAGCCAGTGGCTTGTTGGGCCAGGTCTGGCCTCTTGGGCATTTTACCTGGGCTGCTTCTGGTCCATCAACTTTCCTCACACAGTCACTATACACTGACCTACATTCAAAGTGAAACCACACTTCAAACCCTTTCCATTTGTTTCTTTTTACCTGTATCATAGTTAGGTGCGACACTTTTTGAGTGAGGGCCCCAACTCGATCATCTCCCCCATAGACTTTCAACCCACCTTCCATCTTTACGAGCTTTTCATTGCCTCCAGCATGGTCCCTAAAAGGTAAAAAGAGAAGACCCACAGCAATCTGCTGCTTAAAAGGAGAATGTTGCTTGCTTTTTAAATCTGATTTAAATCTTGTTTACATTCAACCTAATGATCACTTTGTCTTAGAAAAAGGACTCGGTGAGTATGCATTCCAAATGCAGAAAGCAATGTTTCTTATCCATTTGTTCCTCAGCACAAATGGGAAGAGTTTCTTTGGAACTACCAGCATCGAGGTGATGCCCAACCTCTAATATGGGCGGAAGCATATCCCACGGTGTCAGGTATACCTTCTGAGCAGGTGGACAAAGTTGCTGAAAAATCTGTACAGTTCTCTAGTGCCTTTTAACAAAGGGTCACCAAAAGTTTTACATAGAGGGATCTAGTCTGGGCCCCATTTCAGAAAAGGAGAAAGAGAAGCAAAAAAAGGGACCTGCCTGGGGTTTGGTAATGAATGTGAAACAACATGGAATAGAAATAAGACAGTGTGACGCTAAGCCCTGTGCCAGCCACTCCTGGGACAATGTCTGGTATGAGGATACCTAAAGAATAGGTCTTACTGATGAATTCTAAACTTTCAAACCATGGGGGAAACTTCCTCTCCTCCTGATCCTGGAAGTCTACACTTTTAACTTCTTCCCACTAACTCATTTGCAGGGATAAACCAGAAAGCACCTTTCTTAAAAAAGAAAACAAAATAACATTAAGAAAACTGTGTAGCACAGAGGTCTGGAGGTGACACTGCTCTTTCCCTATATTCAGTTAGGGCACAGCTAGAAATCAAAAGAGACCTCACTGTGAATTAGTTCAATACACTGTATACTTGGGAAAGAAAAGCTCACTTCAGAGAAATGTGGCTAAGAATTACAACTAAGAAAGATCTGGGAGGTCACGGTAATTACTTAAAATACTGATTTGATCCTGGCACATATGACATACAAAAGTAACTAGGTTAGTTTATCACTAAATTTGGAATTGGTCAGTCACTAACTAGAGTCCAATTTTGTGAAAAGGATGCCAAGAATACCAAAAAGCACTTAAAGGTCAGAAAATAGGGCCTACCCTATGAGGGTAATTTAATATGGAACAGGGAAGGCTAGAGAAAGGGACAATTATCTTCAAGAATAGAAAGGACTACTACTAAAAGGAGCACAGTGACCTAATGGGAACATCAGAAAAAATGGATTTAAATCACAGCAACAAAGCCTTATATTTGACAGAGGGAAAATCTTTTTGACAGTGAAAGCTGTTAAACACTGGTACAGGTAAAGAAATGACACAATTTATTCCTTATGGAAGGTATCTATCCACCCAGATCCCTTCCCCCACCTCCTTCCCTGTTTTTCAGCTCCCTTTTATGGGTTATCTCCCATTAGACTGTAACCTCTTTGAAGGGAGGGCACTTTTGTTGTTGTTTGCTTGTATATGTATCTCCAACATTTAACACAGGAGCCAGCAAATAGTGAGAGCTTAAGAAATACTTGTTCCCTGCCTCCCTGGCTTTCCTAAAAATCTTTATGAATATTTGTCTCAGGTATTCTAGAAGATTAAGAGCAGGAGATTGGCCTGGATGGTTTCAAGTTTATGGTTCAGTTACAGGTTTGTTTAAATCAATCATTATGCTTATCATTTTACAAATATTAGCCAATGCTTATCATATTCCCATGAAGTAGGGATTGAAGTTCTTACTTTAATGAAAAGAAAAAGAAGCCAAAAGAGTGAGGTTTCTGGTACAAGGACAACAGAGTCCAATCGAGGCCATGTTACAGCAGTATCATCTTGCAGTGACAAGGTTCAAGGCCATTTTTTAAAGGGACAAGAAGGTAGTTGTACTATGTCTCGATAACTGGAAAATAAAACCTAGGTAATTTGTTCCAAAGTTGGCAATCTGCTAGTAAATCAAAGAAATTCTCTGTTCTAACCAAAGAAATAAACCTTTCTTCTTAATTTTAATTTTAAGCACCCTTAAATTTTTTAGCAGATTTAAGAAAAAGACCTTTGGCAGACAACTTCCACAAAACAAAAATTCAATTATGTTTAGGTCTGTTCGTTTTTTGCTGATCAAAGGAAGGTCTCCAAACATTACTCAGTCATTTGACATTCGACTTTTTTTTAAATGCTTAAAACAGTTTAACTAATTTCTTTATGGAATTTAAGGCAAAAATTCCATTATGTAAGCTAATGCTAATCTGAGAAGAGCCTATCAAAGACTGCCTCTACAGAAAAAGAAGATCAGGCTAGTAAAGAAGCATTTTCACCAGATCTGTTGTCTCATCTCAGGCCTGCTTTGTTGCTCAGCCTGTCCTTCCCTGCCCTCTGCATTAGGTAATGATTCTCCTAAGACACACCAGTAGAAACCTTCCACATTCATGTCAGCATGCTTCATGCTCATCACCACACACTCAATTATATAAGGAATCTAATTAAGCAGGACTAAAAATCTGGGACATAGGAACTTCATGCAGGAGCACTCCTTAGGGGACAGAGAACTGTACTGGGAGTCAATAGGCCTATGGCTGAAACTGAGTGTTACCAAATTCTTAAGACTTTAGGCAAGTCATTTACCTTTTCATATGTAGAGATAATACCAGCTACTTTAGGAGTGTATAATTTCCCCTCAAAGAGAGCTACTTTACAATGCTTTTGCTTCCTCAGACTGTAAACACTCTGCTGAATTCCAGTTCCACCTCACCGATTTTAAACTTGCACGCAGCTAGCTGGATGTTCCATCAGCATCTTAAAATCATTATGTTCAAAACAGAACTCTTTATCTTTCTTCCTAAACTTATCCCTCCTCCAAATTTCCCTATTTCTGTTTAGGGTACCAGTCACCTTGGCTGGAAGGCAGGTTCAAAACCTCCATCATCCCAGACCCTTCATAAGCAATCAGTTGCTAAATCTTGTCAATTCTACCTCCACAAGACCTCTTACATCTATTGCCTAGTTTTCACATGCAAAGCCACCACCTTATTCCAGATCTTAATTACCTTTCACCTGGACTATTTCAATAGCTTCCTAATCGGACTTCCGGCTCACAGTCCCTTATCACCCAAATCTATCCTCCACACAATTGCCAAGATAATCTTCATAATGCAAAGATGTGACCATAGTACTATTTTGCTCAAAAATCTTCAATGGTTTCCTAGCTCTTTTAGGATAAAATACAAACTCAGCTTGGCACGTAAGGATTTCCACAATTTTGCTCCAACATGCTTTTCCAGAATTCTTTCCTATTCCCCTGCCTCACATACTCTGCGTTCCAGCCAAAGTGGAGGCAGTTCTGAACTTACCACACTCCATCGCCCTTCTCCTGCCTCCATCCAGGCCTTCAGTGGGCTGTTCTCACTTCTGTTGCTTAGAACCCTTGGCTCATGTTAAGGCTGAGCTCAGAGGCTACATCCTCTCTGAAAGCTTTCCTGATTCCTCCTAGTTCTTAGTGCTCTTTCTCCCTCCCTCAGATTATCTTGAATTTACTTATCTGTATATATTTTTCTATATTTTCCTTCACTCAGCAGAATGTAGGCTCCTGGTACTATTTCCTATCACTCTATCATGCACAAAGCATGTGCTTAATAAATGTTTGTTGAATTGGATTGAAAGGTATATATTCAGACACTATTAAATTCTTGCTTTGATACCTGCCTCATGACCCTTAGAGGAACTTGTGCTTTCCTAGTTAACTCAACATCTCACAGGAATATCAAAATGAACATGGACCAAGTTACAGTTCTTTCAAAGTCTTACTATACCTCTGTTTACACAGGCAAAAAGAAAATTTTTATAGAAATGCTTGCTTAAAGATGACAAAAAATGAGAACAGTCAATGTTGGTGGAGTTGTAGAAAACAGGCACACTAATGCATTGTTGATAGAACTGTGAATTAATAAAAATTGTTTTGAAAAACAATTTGAGATTATATAAATAAAGTGGCTAAAATGTCCATATCCTTCAATCTACTGATTCTACTAGGCATATACCCCAAGGGTGTAATTGATAAAAAGAAAGCCCTCTTGTGCACCAAAATATTTATAGCAGCACTATAGCAAAGAACTGGAAACATCATGGATGTCCATCAATTGGGGAATTGCTAAACAAATTGTGGCAAATGAATATAATAGAATATTACTGTTCTGTAAGAAATGATACATACAATGATTACGGAGAAGCAAAGAAAGAATTAACATGAACTGATGCAGAGTGAAATGAACAGAACTGAGAAAACAATATAACACAATGACTACAACAATGTAAATGAAGAGAACAACCACCATAAAATAATCGAAAATGAGTGTTGCAAAATTACAGAGAACAAGCTTGGACCCAAAGAAGAGACGTTAAGAAGCCAGTTCCCCACTCTGCAGAGATGAAAGATCCATAAGTGTGGACTCTATAGATTCTGTTAGGTTTTTTCAATACATTGATCCAATTTGCTGATATTTTCATTTCTTCCCCTTTTTTTCTAGAAAATGTCTTTGTTTTTTGGGATAGCTCTCTAGGAAGGGAATAGGGGGAAGGATACAAGGGGAAATTTAGATGATGTAAAAACAAGGAATAGCAATAAAAATTTATTAAAAAAAAAGAAGAAGAAAAAAGCTTTCTTACCAATGGTGATGAGTAGTAAGAACGGTGGTCAGTTTCACTCCATTTTTTTTTACTGCTTCCATAACCTACAACCAAACAAATGGAAAAACAAAGAGATCACAAGCCTAGTTATTCCCTACCTCTAGTACTATTGGCCTGGAGGTGGATGACACTCTAGACTTCATTGATTAAACAAGAAGAGGAAGTACAAAACATCTTTCTCATCTTCTTCCTTGGTCCCTTACCCAGTTATGAAGTCTGATTTAATAATCTTTTTTCATAAAACTTTTTAAGCCTTATGATGGTATCTAAGATTTATTTTCATTTATTTTAGTCATATGCACAAAAATTAATGGTCACCATGATATCAACCACGTGTGGGAATTGAATTTAGTGATGAGGGAATAACAAAGGGAGGTGCTATGATTAAATTCTGCCTGGAGTGCCTGGAGTTTCACACCCAGTGAGGTTATACAACGAAGTTAAAAAGAACCCAAAGCCAAAGCTATCTCTAGAAGAATTCCCGAGGAACTTCACACAAAGGCCATTCACATTACCTTCTGGGGTTGTACCGGATCCACAATAGCTGCTTCGTTAGTATCTTCATCAATGATCAGGTACATGTAGTTATCAGTTAGGGCTGGCAGTAACACAACCTTCATGGTGCTGTGTTCAATTATCTGACACTTTCTGTATTCAGTGTGGTGAGTAACAGTTCCCAGAAAGGCTGAACCTTGGAGATATAAATAATACAGATGCAGGTCAATGGCAGAACTTTATTATGACTGAACTGAGTAGAAGATCAAAGACAAATCCTTCAAGCTCCAGTAGTAAAGCCTCATAAACCTTGAAGAAGAAAGTAGGGAAGATGCTCCTTGGCCTGACACATTCAACTTCTACCCATTTTTTTCTGAGGGTTTCTTTTCTAAAGAAAGGGAATCTTCATCTGACCTATATTTATTACCAAATCATTGAAAATATGAAAAAATCCATCTGAATGAGGATCAAATTAGATCAAAACTGCCATTTAATGTCACTTACTAAGCATTAAAATGCACAAACAAACCCAGAGTATAAAAGGAAAAAAAAAAACACTAAATGTAGAGAACAAGTAAGACACAATTCAAAAAATGTTCAAATGTGGTTACTGCTAACTCAAGAGAAGAGCAGAGCTGAAAACCCAGAAAATATCTCAGAAGTCCATTTAAGCCATTTGTTTAATCTCTAGCACCATACCATCGAAGTAGTTAGTAGTTTAGATAAGGAGGGAAGGAATCCTCCAAACTAAAATAAAGATTCTCAAAATTCTTTCAGGAACAAGTATTTAAAAAATGTAAAAGATGTCAAGGCCCACTGATGTGTGGTCAGTCCTGGGGTTAAAGTTGGCTGGCAGGGCAGGTGCCTCATGGGGGAACTCAGTTTGAATGACGGGTGGCAGGCAAGGGAGTGACATCTGGGAGAAGAGCAGCAAACCAGGCCCCATAGATTTGAGGATCTTCACGGACCTTACTCTCAGGAGCACTACGTAAAAATCAAGCACTTCAGTGCTTCTTCATGCATGGCAGGGAAACAAAAAATTGGAGCTTTAATGATTAAACAACATATACCAACTCTGATTCTCCCTTTTCTTTGCCTCATACTCAGCAAAATACATATTTTAAAAATTCTGAGCTCATGTGAAATAGTACCCCACCTAAGCCTCAATATAAACCTTCATTATGCCCTGTTCAATTTTCTAACTCTGAAGTCAGTGTGTTGACAAATACTGACATGACCAAGCTAGGCTGCATGACTTAGATCTGGCAAGCGCTTTACTCCCAGGGAAGGTAGGGACACAGTAAGAACGATTAAATATGTGTTAACTGGGATTCCTTAGACTTACACCATCTTCCTTGAAAGTTCTATAGATTTTCTCCATTTATACTTTATTTACTCACACTATACAAATAACTTGTTCCCCTTGACTTCTTTTTTCTCCCCTACTCCAAACCTTTGATCCCCAGTGAATTAGTATATATGTTTCCCATTAGGACTAAGACTATGCCCTGAGGAAGGCAGGATTTTGGACAACTGGATCAGAGATCTTTTCTATTTAATCTAAAAGGAACATCTTAAGTAAAGTCAAGTCCATTTTAAAGAAAGCAATTTATTTATCTTCCTTAATCAAAAAACCGGTTTCATTTCTCTACAAAGAGAACCACTGCTCAGCATTGCTTGAGAAAGACCACAGTCAAAGGATTTTAGGCCAACAAATATATGTAATAAGGTCTGGGTCATATACACACTAAAGCCCTGACTTTGATAAGCATCCATGAGGAAGAGTAGGAAGAAATATAGTCTACAGGAAACTTTTGTAATGAGGCCGTTTTCCCTATTTCAGACCGTGGGCCACACTTATCTAGGCTGAAAAATGTAAATATCTGGAGAAAGAAGGCAATATCTGCTGCATGTCCTACTAAACACTCCTAGCTACTGCAGCCAAGTGTGAAAGTTGACAGTCAGTCAGCGCTGGCAAATGTAACAATTGGCTCCACAGCTGCAACTCTAGCCCTAGCCTTTACCTCTAATTCCTTGCAAAACATACAAAGAGAAAAGAGCAATTTCAAAATTATTAGTAAGATAGCCCAACACATCAATGGGGCTAGATTGTGACATAGCATGAATCTCTTGCACAAGAAAAAAAATATAAAAATATATTTATTGAGATTTATATATTGCAATCCACTGGGCAGAAAATCTAGGCATATAAATCATAAAAATGTAAATGGTATAAAAGAGCCCCAAAGTTTTAACTACATAAGTAGAACACCCACTGCCTTCTACAGGTATGGGATCAAAGACTTGAAGCTGGAAGGAAACCCAGAGGTGATTAAGTCTGACCCTTAATTTTAGAGGTGAGAAACTGAAGCCCAAAGATATTAAGAGATTTGGCTAGGTTCACTCGGCCAGGAAGTGTTTAAGGTAGGATTTGAAACCACAGTCTTCAGAGATGAACATTATGCAGTGTCCCAAAAGTCTTAGTGCAGCTTTAAGCTTTACTATTACACATGCAAGAGAGACCCTTACAGAAGCAGGAATAGGAAGAAAAAAATTAGATAGTCTTCTAATCCATGGAGTTCTGGGTCACAAAGAAAAAACACCAGAGAAGACCTCAGCTACTATACTAGTGCATATGGAAAGGAAGAATTCCTGAAATGGGACTTGAAACACCAGAATACTTGTTAGCCTTTTGGTAATAAACATCTCCTCATCAAATACAAGCCCTTCAGAACACTCCCATGTAGTTGACAAGCTACCTTCAGTCCTTTTTTACCATGTATTCTGGACCTCAATGGCCTTTCTATTGATCAACAATGATAAGGTAGATGTTGATTAAAAAAAAAAAAGCATGACCTCAAGACATTTCTCTGTTTCTCCTGTCATTTATCTCTCTTTCACACAGTTTTATTAATTCCAAGATATTATCATACTTCTTCAAGTAAGAGCTACTGTTGGTGTGATACTTAGAAAATCTTGTGTAAGATCAGTGGCATCTGTCATTATTACTACCTTGCAGGGGAACTAAGCTTTACTTGTAGAAAAGACTACCTCACTTTTAAGCACTCCGCTCTGAGTAGCTTGCAAAAACCCCAAACAGAAGCTAGCTTCTCTGCACTTTGATACTACTACATTACCACCTGTGGTGTCAGGGAGCTTGCACAACCCTCCAGAACCGGGCCAATTAATCCTCCACGGCTGAGAATGCTAGGGTGGCCTTTGCAATGCCAAGGCTGGGCTTCATCTGAGTGATCCAGGACCTTTGCTACCTACCACGGGACCGGAGCCCAGCCTCTTCCTCCCTCTCACCAGCACCTTATTTGGGGGGGAGTGAGCACTGGCTAGGCCACTCTATCCGTGCCCCTTGTCCCCTTCCCCCTCCCCCAGCGGCATTACTGAAAGGATCAGGAGATTACGTAACCGAATCCAAACCCCCAACGAGGCTGGGGATCTCTTCTTAGCCATCGACTCACAGGTCAATGGAGACATTTTATTTGAACCCCCTAGTTAGGCAACCGGACAGCGGAGGAGGCCTGGCACTTTCGGGATGCTGCTCGGGACTCCCCGGCCCGCCAGCCCGGGGAGCGAGCGCTTCACACTGGGTTCGCCAGCCTGGGTCGCGGTCCCTGGAATGCCTGGGCGGGCAGGCGAGCGCTCCTCCTAGCCGCATCCCGGGCCGGGAGAACGCAGACGTGACAGCCACGGGGCCTCCCCCGGCGGGGCCGGGGGCGTGCGTGGAAAGGGTCTGGAAGTGCGCTCCGCCTGCCTCCGGCGGGGGAGGAAGACAATCCCGGCCCCGCACGCACGTCCCACGGGTCAGCCGTTGCGGAACCGCGCGGAGCGCCGGCCGGCAGCACCTGTCAGGCAAGCCGGGGCCGAGGGCTAGCCCCGCAAGCTTTCCGGCTGCTCCCCTCTGGGCCGGGCTGTCTCCTTTCACCTACCCACAGAGCGCCTGGCCCAGGTGGCTCCCAGGAGGGCGAAGCTCCGGCGGCCCAGGTGCCCAAAGCACCAGACCATGTTCCGGAGGGAAGAGCAGCGGAGCGCTCTGAGAGGCCGAGCCCTGACATCGCGTTCTCGTCATCGACGCACCTCAGCCAATCCCCGCTGGCCTCCTCGCCACGCGCCCGCCGCTCCCTCCGCCCCGACCCGCGGCCGCAGCCAATCAGTGCGCGGCTGCCGGGCTCCGGCCCCCAGCTCCCCCTCCGCTCGCCCCTCCCCCCAATACCGGCCGCGGAGAAGTGTCGTTGTAGTTGTGGGGTCGCCGGGGCACCCTGGGAAGCGGCGGCGGGGGGTACAAGGAGATAGAGGCCCTCGTGGAGCTGCGTCCTCCACCCTCCGTAGCAGCACGGCCCTGCTAGGAAGGGCAGCGCCACTATGACCTTCCCGGACTCCGGTCACCTGGAGCAGGGTTCAGCGACTCCCAGCCCCCAGCCGAGGGGGGAGGAAAGTCGAGAGCAGTCTACGGTGTCTCTTTTCGATGATGGAAAGGCGAGTTCCGAGAAAGTTTGGCTTCGTTGGGTAGCCGTAGGCGTCAGGTGACTGCCCTTGGGCAGAGTCCACGTGATACGGTGACACTTGGGTAGGCTCGCTCCGGACTTCTAAACATGGCTGCAGCTCGTCAGTTACCCCGGTTTTGGGAATGGGGCAAAAACATCGTCTGCGTGGGAAGGAACTACGCGGATCACGTTAAGGAGATGAAGAGCGCCGTCCTCAGCGAGCCAGTGATCTTCCTGAAACCTTCCACTGCTTATGCCCCGGAGGGCACCCCGATACTCATGCCCCCTTACAGCCGCAACCTGCACCATGAACTGGAGCTGGCGGTGGTGATGGGGAAGCAGACCTGCGCCGTGTCCGAGGCCGAGGCCATGGGCTTCGTGGCAGGCTACGCCTTGTGCCTGGATATGACTGCCAGGGACGTGCAGGACGAGTGCAAGAAGAAGGGGCTGCCCTGGACCCTGGCCAAGAGCTTCACTTCCTCGTGCCCAGTCAGCAAGTTCGTGCCCAAGGAGAAGATCCCGGACCCGCATAAGCTTAAACTCTGGCTCAAGGTCAACGGCCAGCTGAGACAGGAGGGCGAGACGTCCAACATGATCTTCTCCATCCCCTACATAATCAGCTATGTCTCCAAGATAATAACATTGGAAGAAGGGGACATTATTTTGACTGGGACTCCGAAAGGAGTTGGGCCTGTTCAAGAAAATGATGAGATACAGGCTGGAATAGATGGGATTATCACTATGAGCTTTAAGGTGGAAAAATCAAAGCATTGAGGTTATGGCAGTTGCTCTGGTTCCCAAGCTGCCAAATCCTGATGTCCTGATTCACTTTTTAATGACAATGGTTGAGTGAGGGGTAGATAGAGGAGACTGAAGAAATAAGAGTAAATAAGAGTTGTGGATACCTATTAAATCCAAACATTAATTGCTAATCGGAATCTGTGTTTTTTGTTTTTGTTTTTGCTAGGCAATGGGGTTAAATGACTTGCCCAGGGTCACACAGCTAGTAGGTATCAGGTGTCTGAGGCCAGATTTCAACTCAGATCCTCCATCTGCTGTGCCACCTAGCTGCCCCAGGAATCTGTATTTTTCTACAAGCTAAATTACTGTTTCTAGAAGGCCTAAGATTTTTTTTTTCTGTGTAGATCATTCTGGAATTTGTGCTGTAGAAAAGCATTAAAATATAAAAGATTCTAAGAATCATCCTTTAAATCTGTGTGTTTTTAAAAGTAGCCATTGATTGATGAAGATTTTTAGAATTTTGAAGGGATCTGAAGGATCATCCAGCCAACCATTCGTGTCCCACCTTCTTATTCTTAGCTTGACTTGATTTATTGAAGTGCCCTTTGAGATCAGCATGTTTTTTGTGAGAACAGTGTCGACACTGTTGTCATAAAAATGATTGTGTCGTGTCAGCCATCCATACTTCCTTCTTGAAGTGACCTTGTGACCAACTGCATGAATTTGGGGTTGCAACAGAACTTTGATGAGTATCAACTTTTTGATATTGGCTTCCTTAGCACTATATTCTTCACTACTAACTTACTAACTTAGTGAGCCAGTTGTTATATCTGGACTTTCTCAATAGCAAAAGAGAGGGTCTGGAGAGAAGTTGAAATACTTAGAAGAGCTACTTTGGCTGTTTCCTGTTCCATTTTCTGAATGTATGTGGGGAGATGTACAGATGGCTGTGTTTTAATTGGTGGTCCCTCATACTGAGTTTTCAAGCTTCCCTAGTTTGCAAAGGAAAAAAAAATTTTTTTCATGTGCTTAAGCAGTAAAAACAACTGTAAGATCATGAATCAAAAGGCATTAATTGGCTGGATGAAGAAGACCTCATGAATCTGGTTTGTGAGTAGTTGCTAGTTAGAAATCTTTTCGTATTACTGTGGTACTTATTAATACTTCTGAAATTGGAAATTATTTTGGAGAAGAGCCATAAATGAATGTTATATTAAAAATATTTTATGTTATTCACATCAATACACCTATCATACATTTTATGTGTTTTGAGATGCAGGTAAGGTTTCTCCCCCCCAATACATTGTTATTTCATTAAATATTTATCAGTTACATGCAAAAAATTTTTTCCCTTTTTTTTTTTAATTTTGAGTTCAAAATTCTCTCCCTCCCCCTTCCCCAACTTGAGAAGGCAAGCAATTTGATATAGATCATACATGTGAAGTCATGCAAAACATTTCCATATTAGCCATGTTGCAAAAGAAAACACAGACCAAAACAAACAAAAGACAAGAAAAATAAAGAAAGTAAAAAAGGTATGCTTCAGTCTTCATTTAGACTCCATCATTTCTTTCTCTGGAGGTGGAAAGCATTTTTCACCATGAGGCCTCTGGAATTGTCTTAGATCATTGTATTGCTAAGAATAGCTAAGTCATTCACAGTTGATCATCATACAATATTGCTATTACTATGTACAATGTTCTCCTGGTTCTGCTCTCTTCACTTTGCATCAGTTTATATATGTCTTCCCAGGTTTTTCAGAAATCATCCTGCTCATCATTTCTTATAACACAATAGTATTCCATCACAGTCATATACCATAACTTTGGTCAGCCATTCCCCAATTGATGGATATCTCCTCAATTTCCAATTCTTTGCCACAACAAAAAGAGCTGCTATAAATAGTTTTGTTCATATAGGTGTTGTTCCTTTTTCTTTGATCTCTTAGTAGTCTGTATTACTGGGTCAAAGGGTATGCACAGTTTCATAGCCTTTTAGACATAATTTCAAATTGTTCTCCAGAATGATTAGATCAGTTCACAACTCCAACTACAATGTATTAGTGTCCCAGTTTTTCTGCATCTCCTTCAACATTTGTCATTTTCCTTTTCTGTCATATTAGCCACTATGGTAGGTGTGAGGTGGTACCTCAGAGTTATTCTAATGTGCATTTCTCAGTTATTTAGAACATTTTTTCATATGACTCTAGATAGCTTTGATTTCTTTTTCTGAAAACTGCCTGTTCATATCCTTTGATCATTTATTAATTCAGGATGTAGGTCAAGTTTACATCTACTTTTTAAATTAAATTTTATTCTTTTCAAAGAAACAACAATCTGCCTTATCTCCTTCCCTTTTAAGATAAAAAGAAAACCCCTGTTTCAAACATATGTAATCAAGCAAAACAAATTTCTGCATTGGCCATCACCAAAAGAAGATAGATATTTTATTTGGCACTATTGAGTCTTTTTCTGTCAGGAGGTGGATAGCATGTTTTATCATTAGTCTTCTGTAATAATGGTTTATCATCACACTGATCAGAGTTCCTAAGCCTTTCAGCGTTGTTTGTCTTTACAATATTGTTGTCATTGTATAGTTTTTTCTCCTGACTCTTTTCCCCTCATTCTGTATCAATTCATAGAAGTCTTCCCAGGTTTCTCTGAGACCATCTTTCATCATTTCTTATAGCACAATAGTATTCTGCCAGTTTTCTATACTGTAACTTGTTCACCTATTCCTCACTTGATGGGAATCACTCCCTCAGCTTCTAATTCTTTGCCACCTCAAAAAGAACTCTTAAGTATATTTTGTACATCCTTAGAGTTTGTTTTGCTTAGGTCGAATTCCTTCTTCAATGTGTCTCCCTCTTACCCTTTTCCTCCTATTTCCCTGTTCAGTGAAATGTATTTCTGTACCTAGATGTGAATATGTATATTCTTCCCTCTGACCAATTTAGATGAGAGATTCAAGTATCAGTCACTACTCCTATCCCTTCTTCCTCATCTATATAGACTTCTACTTGTACACCCTGATTATGTGAGATAATTTCCTTTACGTGAGATAATTTCTTGATGTCTGACTCTTTGTGAATCCCTGGACATTAGCATTCCAGTTCTATCCACAAGGTTTTCTTAGCATTGGTTTACCATTTCCATTTCCAGTGGATTAAGGCAAAGAGACCTAAGTGACTTGCCCAGAGTCACACAGCTAGTAAATGTCTGAGGCTGGCTTTGAACTCAGGTCTTCCTGACTCCAGGCCCAGAGCTGTATCCACTGAGCCATCTAGCTGCCTTGAGATAATTTCCTAGCCTTCCTTTACTTTTCTCCCCTAATGTGTCCCTCTTCCTTCTCTTTCCATTCTTTTAAGATCTTCAAGACATAACAACAGACCCACTCCCAGGCCTTCCCTGGAAGACTCCCTCTATGATTCTTGAAGATGACAGGGTTCAGAGGGGTCACATTCATCATCTCCCCATATTCAAATGTAAGCAGTTTATCCTTGTTTAGCCCTCATGATTGTTAGTTCATATTTATCTTTTTATCTTTCTCTTAACTTCTGTGTTTGAACTTTAAAGTTTTTCTCAGCTCTGGTCTTTTCATCAAAAATGCTTGGAAGTTCTCTGTTTCATTCAAGATCCATTTTTTTTCTCCTGCATAATTATCCTCACGGGGCTTTTTGGTTATTGTTATTCTTGGCTGTAAGCCTTGATTAATTGTGGAAGAATGATTAATTGGGGTATGGTGTCTGCCTGCACAAAGGAAACGGGCACAGTTCATAAAACCAGAAGCATTTATTGGGTAAGTACAGTACATGCAAACATGGGGCACAGTAGAACCTAATCTGACTGCTCCACAGATTGGGGGTTTATATGCTTGTACAACAAAGAAAGTCAGGAGAATAGGAAGAATACAGAATATCTGGAACCAGGATGTTTGTCCATTTGGGGCCAGTACAAACTAGTTTCAGCTAGCCCTGTGGTTGCTGGTACAGGAGAGGTGTTCCAGATGCACTCAGTGGACACTGCAAAGGATCACTATGTCAAACTTGAGCAACACTCATTCTGCCTCTTAGCTGATCTTGAGTTCCAGGTTATTTCAGCCTCTTCTCTATAATAAGGAAACTCAAGTAAATCAAGGTAATTAATAAACTCATTATTCATTCCACTTCCACAACTTGTATCCTTTGCCTTCTGAAATATATTCCAAGGTCTCTTCTTCTTCATAGCAGTGGCTGCTAAATCATGTGTTATCTTGACTTACTCCTCAGTAATTGAATTCTTTCTTTCTGGCTGCTTGTAGTATTTTTCTTTTGTCCTGAAAGCTATGAATTTGACCTATATTATTCCTAGAAGATTTCATTTTGGGATTTCTTTCAGGAAGTGACCAGTGAATTCTTTATATTTCTATGTTCACCTCTTATTCTAAGAGATCTAGGCAGTTTTAAGATTTCTTGAAATATGATTTCTTGAAATTTTTTTTTTTTTTGCTCATGGCTTTCAGGATTCTTGATTTTTTTTTTCTTCTTGATCCTTTTCCTGGGTCAGTTGTTTTTGCTGTGAGATATCGTTCATTTTCTTCTATTTTTTTAATCTTTTGATTTTGTTTTAATATTTCTTGTTGTCTTTTGGAATCATTGATTTCAATTTGGTCCATTCTAATCTTCAGGCAGTTTGTTGCTTGTGCAAGGTTTTTTATCTCTTGTGCTAAACTACTAATTATCTTTCCAATTCTTTCTTCCTTATCTCTCATCTCTTTTCCAATTTCTTCCTCTAGCACTTTTATTTATTTAATAAAATTAACTTAAAAAAAAACAACCTCTTGCTTCATTTCTTCCAGGAATCCTAGCTGAATTTGTCCCCAGGCTGTGTTTTTATTTGAGGATTTGCTTGTAGATATTTTGAAGTAATTCTCTTCTTTTGGGTTTGTGTCTTGAGCATCCCTATAATTATATTAAATTTTTATGATAGAATCCTTTTTTGTTTGTTGTTTGCTCATTATTTCAGCATGCTTTTTGACTTCAGGCTTGATGTTAGGACCAGGCTCTGTGCATTTCTGGGGGGAAGATCTGGGCTGGCTCTGCTGTTTCTTTTCTTGGGATATTGAGTGTTATGTTGTTCTAGGCTCTCAAAAACAGTTCATCCAGGGGATTTGCAAGTTTTCAGTGCTTCCAAAGTAGTCTGACCATGGCAAA